CATTCCCACCAACAGTGGGTTAGTGTCCCTTTTTCCCCACATCCTTGCCAGCATCTGTTGTTGGTAGATTTCTGCATCTGAGCCATTCTATCCGGGGTGAGGTGAAACCTCATTGTGGTTTTGATTTGCATTTCCCTGATTGCTAATGACCTTGAACATTTTTTCATGTGCCTGTTGGCCATTGGGAACTTCCAAATGAAATTTTGAAGTTGTATGCATTGTAGTTTGCATGTAATTCAACTTTCTGCCATACTTACTGATATATATCAGCATTTGATGTAGGACAAATCAGAAAACACAATGGCTTAACAAATAGCCATTTGATTTGCAGTTCTGACTCTGTGTTTGGGCTGTACTCAGCTGGGCAGTTCCTATGATCAGTCCAGGAGCAGAAATGAGAGTTTAGCCATTTGGGGAACTGATTGAGGCTTCACTTAAGTGTCTGGGGTTTGTGGTGAATCTTGGCTATATATATCTCTTTTTTCTTTTTTTGACAGGCAGAGTTAGTGAGAGAGAGAGAGACAGAGAGAAATGCCTTCCTTCCATTGGTTCACCCCCAAATGGCTGCTATGGCCAGCATGCTGTGCTGATCCAAAGCTAGGAGACAGGCACTTCCTCCTGGTCTCCCTTGTGGGTGCATGGCCCAAGAACTTGGGCCATCCTCCACTGCCTTCCCAGGCCACAGCCGAGAACTGGACTGGAATAGGAGCAACTGGGTCAGAACCAGTACCCCAACTGAGACTGTCACCTGGAATACCAGTGCCACGGGTGGAGGATTAACCTAGTGAGCCACGGCGCCAGCCTACATACTATCTCTTCAACAGGCAGGCCCCAGGGTTTTTCAGAAGATAACTGTCAGAAAAAGAAAATCTGAGAAGGCAAATACTTTACAAAATGTCTATTTCTGGGGCTGGTTCTGTGACATAGGAAGTAAAGACACCGCCTGCAGTGCCAGCATCTCATATGGGTGTCAGTTCATGACTCAGCTGCTCCACTTCTGATCCAGCTCTTTGCTACAGCCTGGAAAAACAGTAGAAGATGGCCCAAGTCCTTTGGCCCCTGCTCCCTTGTGGGAGACCTGAAAGAAGCTCCTGGTTCATATCTTTGGATCTACACAGCTCCAGCCATTGCAGCTATCTGGGAGTGAACCTGCAGTTCGAAGACCTCTCTTATTCCTCCTTCTCCCTCTCTCTCTTTCTCTGCCTCTCCTTCTCTCTTTGTGCAACTCTTTCATATAAATAAATATTTTACAAATTGTCTATTTCTATCACATTTACTGGTATCTCATGGGGTAAATCAATTGAAATGGTGAAATTCGTGGTCTTTTTCAAAAAGATTTATTTATTTATTTGAAAGAGTTACACACGAGAGAGGGAGAGGCAGAGAGAGAGATAGAGTGCTCTTCCATCTGCTGGTTCACTCCCCAGTTGGCTGTAATGGCCAGAGTTATGCCAATCCAAAGCCAGGATCCAGGAGCTTCTTCTGGGTCTTCCACATGGGTACCAGGGCCCAAGGACTTGGGCCATCTTCTACTGCTTTCCCAGGCCATAGCAGAAAGCTGGATCAGAAGTGGGGCAGCTGGGAATCAAACCAGTGCCTATATGGGATGCCAGTCTGCAGGTGGCAGTTTTACCCGCTAGGCCACAGTGCCAACCCCAATCCAGGGTTTTGTGAAGGGATGAATACAGGGAAAGGTGCTACTTGGAATCATTACTGGTAAAGTGCACTGCATTAAATATACATTATGTGTATTTGTTAACTTTCTTTAGTATAAACTTTAATAACAACATAATGTTTATCTCTGATAACCTTATTCATTTGAACACTCAACTTTTCTTTTTACTTTCACATTATTATTTTACAAAATTTGTAGATAATGCTTTCATTAAACCAATGATAACTTCTGTTTAATCTCTGCCACTTAATATAGGTGGGTGCATTTTCCTATGTATTTCTATTTTTAGAGGTTTATTCCTCCACAGTGAAGCTGATGTTTCTTGGTTAATGTATTTATTATTCTTTATTCATTCTACTATATCCCTTTTTTCCCCACTGTTCAGTGCAGAAGGAAACCAGAGGTTTTTTTTTTTTTTAAGATTTCATTTATTTATTGACAGAGTTGCAGAGAGAGAAAGTCTTCTATCTGCTGGCTCACCCTCCAAATTACTGCAAAGGCTGGAGCTCAGCGATCCAAAGCCAAGACCCAAGAGCTTCTGGGTCTCCCATGCAGGTGCAGTGGCCCAAGGACTTGGACCATGTTCCACTGCTTTCTCAGGACATAGCAGAAAGCTAGATTGTATGTTGAGGAGGCAGTACTCAAACCAGAACCCATATGGAATGCTGGCACTGTAGGCAGCAGCTTTACCCATTATGCCACAGCGTTGGCCTCTAGAGTTTTCTTTGAACTCCTGCCATTCACCTTCTCCCAGGTATGATTCTGGGTCCTCCACATGTTTCTAAGAGGAAAGAAAATTAATATATCACCTGTAAGTGTTTTTTTTTTAATTATTCCCCAGCTTGTCAGTACTCATTTTAGGTGTTTAATGCTAGTTTATTTATTTATTTTTTTAGATTTTTTTAAATTTATTTGAAAGAGGTACAGAGAGGCAGAGGGGGAGAGAGAGAGAGAGTCTTCCATCTGCTGGTGCACTCCCTAGTTTGCCACAATGGCCCGAGTTGCACTGGTCCAAAGCTAGAAGTGAAGAGCTTCTTCTGGGTCTCCCACATGGGTTCAGGGGCCCAAGGACTTAGGTCATCTTCTACTGAATTCCCAGGCCATAGCAGAGAGCTGGATTGGAAGTGAAGCCACTGGGACTTGAACTGGCACCAATATGGGATGCCAGCACTGAAGGCAGTGGCTTTACCTGCTAGCCACAGTGCCAGTCCCAGTATATAGTTAATTAAAATGGAAAATATGGGGTTGGCTCTGTGGATCAGTGGGTTAATGCCCTGGTCTAAAGTATCGACTTCCCATATAGGCACTGGTTTGAGACCGGCTACTCCACTTCTGTTCCAGCTCTCTACTATGGCCTGGGAAAGCAGTGGAAGATGGCCCAGGTCCTTGGGCCCCTGAACTCATGTGGGAGACCCAGAAGAAGCTCCTGGTTCCTGGCTTCAGATTGGAGCAGTTCCAGCCATTGCAGCCAATTGGGGACTGAACCAGCAGATGGAAGACCTCTCTCTCTCTCTGCCTCTCTCTTCTGTGTAACTTGACTTTCAAATAAATAAATAAATCTTTACAAAATTTTAAAATAGAAAAATAAACATAAAATTTGTTATCACAGAATATACAGAAATGAATGATGAATTTGGCATGATTATGAAACATTACTGTCATCTATAATAATGCAGTTTGGTCTCTTGTCTTTCTGTTGCTATAGCAAAATATATATTTGTTACATGAATTGAGTTGAAACTAAGCACAATATGCTACATTTTTGGGGTCATGTCTGAAACATTCTACACATAGATGATGTACTGAACAGTGTTTTAGTGCTACCTATAAAGTAAACACTTAGCATTCTGCAAGAGGAAGAGTTACCTAGTGCTGGAACACAAATCAGTTAAGTTTGTTTTCAAATTGTTAGAGTAATGGAGTTCTTAATACCTTTGAGAAGTTGAATTGGATTCTGGAATAGGATAAGGAATGTGTGGAGAAAAGAATCTACTGGAGGCTCATTTATTTTTTTAAGATTATTTATTTGAAAGGTGGACTTGCAGAGATTGGGAGAGACAGGGAGACAAAAGGATATATCTTCTATCTAGTGTTCATTCCCCAAATGCCCACAATGGCTGGGACTGGGCCAGGCCAAAGCCAGGAGCCTGGGACTCCATGGGTCTCCCACATTGGTGGAAGGGTCCAAATACTCAGGCCATTTTCACTGCTCTTTCAATCAGATTAGCAGGGAACTAGATTGGAAGTGGAGCACCAAGGAGTCAAGTCCTCTGTTTACATGGGATGCCAGCATTGATGGTGGAGGCTTAGCCTGCTGGATCACAATTCTGGTGACTATTGCAAGTTCTGAAACAAATCTCTAAGCATTTTTCTCAGTGAGTCACAAATGCAGATTGTACTGCAGACATTCCCAGGTTCTCTTTTTGGGCAAATAATTCCATTGCTTTCATTTAATTATGTATAATGTCATTTCAAATGTTTATCATTTGAATGTTTTGGGCAAGTATTTCCATTGCTTTCACTTTAATTAGGTATAATGTTATTTCAATTGTTTATAGTAGAATAATCATAGACAAGGGCAAAAGCTAATTTGTATTCTTTGTCTTACCTGTATTTTCTCTCTTAAAAATATTTATTAGCTTGATAGAGAAAAAAGTTGATGGACTGAGAGATAGAGAGCTTTGACACATTGATTCATTTCCTAGATAAGCATACCAAACAGGTGGGGCAGGACTGAAGCCAGGATTGAGGAATGGAATCTAGGCCTCCTTCATTGGTGACATCACCATTGCTTCCCCAGGTTTGCATTATCTGGGAGCTAGAAACTACAGCTGGCATTGGAAGTCATGGACACTCTGAGGTGGCATCATAAACAACACTAAGCTAAATGTCTGCCCTGTCTTTTAATATTTTTTCTCTGACATATTGGAAATGATAAGCATGGTGTTTTCCTGGAAATTGTTTTCTGTTCATTCCCATCATAGTTTCACTGATGGTTTCTTGCCTTTTTTCTCAATGCTTCTACATACTTCTCCTTAACATTGCCCAGTCAAGAGTCAGTATTGCCCCTCTTCTAGCCTGCTGTGCAATTCCCCTTGACAGATGTGGCATTTGTGATTTGAACCTCCTGTTTCCCTCTAGGTTGGGCATTTCTCACAGCCTGTAGATCATGGGTTTGACTCTGTTGAATGCTCCGTGTGGCTTTCTAAACACTCCACAAGTCTAATGTGAAACCATATCCTTCCTTTTTTCCTTCATATCCATACAAACTGTCAGTGTTTATTTTGTGACAGAGTTAACATGTTGACTGGAAGTGTTATTATAGGTAATGACAGCATTTGAAGACCTGGCTGTGTACTTTACATGGGAGGAATGGCAGAAAATGAACAATGCTCAGAAGATCCTGTACAGAGATGTGATGCTGGAGACCTACAGCAGCCTGTTCTCCTTGGGTGAGTGACACCCATCACATGCCCAGTGATAACATTTCTTGCTATTTGACAAATAAGGGAACACTTTATAATGTTTAATATTGGGCAGGATTAGAATTTGAGTCTGTGAATAATCTGAATATCTACCATCTAACAAAAGATTCAATTGGAACATTTGTTGCATAGCTCCTGAACCAAGCTGTAGTCCTTTAAATAACCCAAGATAGTGAGTTTACAAAGTCTTACTTTGTTTCCATTAATAGGGCACTGCATTACCAAACCTGACTTGATCTTCAAGTTGGAGCAAGGAGAAGAGCCATGGATGGTGGATGAATGCTTGAATCAGAGCCTTTCAGGTCGTCTGCAGCTAGGACTTAAACTGGTGCCCATAAGTGATGGCAGCACCTCAGGTGGTGGCTTTACCTGCTATGCCACAATGCCAGCCCCTGGAAACTATTTCTAACTCATTGCTCAGATTGAGTTCCCACTCATGATTTTGTCCAGGCATAGAACTTGCTCAGGACTGAATCAATAAATGTGAACTCTCTCTTTCTTAGTCTCTTTCTTTTTTTCCTCTGTGCTTCTAAAATAAATAAGAAAATTATAGTCTGTTGGAAACATTTGAGGAGTGAACCTATAGTTGGCAAAGCTCTGTTTCTGTCTGTCTTTATCTTTATTCTGTCTCTCTTACTCTCAAGTAAGTAAATAAGTAAATGCTAAAAGATGGTCATGTGGCCGGTGCTGTGGCACAGTGAATTAACACCCTAGCCTGGAGCACCAGCATCCCATATGGGCACCAGTTTGAGACCCAGTTGCTCCACTTCTCATCTAGCTCTTGGCTATGGCCTGGGAAAGCAGTAGAAGATGGTGCAAGTCCTTGGGCTCCTGCACCTGAGGGAGACACAGAAGCAGCTCCTGGCTCCTGGCTTCAGATCAGCACAATTCTGGCCATTGTGGCCAATTGGGGAGTGAACCATTGGTTGGAAGATCTTACTCTCTTTGCCTCCTCTCTCTTGTAACTCTGACTTTCAAATAAATAAATCTTAAAAAAAAAATAAAAGATGGTCATGAGTAAGCCTCTGTGCTGTGACATCAGAAATTATGAAGCTAGCAATGACACTGTGGTGCAGTGTGTTAAAGCTCCAGCCTGCAACACTAGCATTCATATTGGTGCCAGTTCAAGTCCCAGCTGGTCCTCTTCTAATCCAGCTCTCTGCTAATGCACCTGAGAAAAGTGCAGAGGTTGGCCCAAATCCTTGGCCCCCTGTACCCATGTGGGAGACAAGAAAGACACTCCTTGCTCCTAACTTCATTTTGGCCCAGCATTGGTTGTTGTTCCCATATGGGGAGTGAACCAGCAGATGAAAGATCTCTCTCTCTTTAATTCTAGCTTTAAAAAATAAAGTAAATCTTTGAAAAAAGAAATCCTAAACTAAGCATGAACTTATATAAAACATGAAAATAAGTGATCCTAGACTCACCAAGAAAGTAATGAGATTTTGAGACCCAAGGTCAAGTAGCCTCATGGGGTTATGTTGAGTGGCTCAGATTTCTTGAAGGGTGGAGTTTGAAGTATGATTTCTCTCTTATTTTCAGTATCATTGAAAAATATGCAAATAAAAAGATAAGAAAAACATAGGAAATGAAGCTTTCAGTGAAAATAGGAGGCAACTGATCAAATGCCTCCAGAAATTCAAATTATCACACAGGAATGTTTCTAGAAAGACTTTAGAGGAGGTAACCAGCACTGATGATTTCAGAATGAGTTAGAAACCACTTTTGAAAGAAGATGAGCACATCCTGGTTTGCAAAACAAATTCTTCAAAATTGGGAGTGTTTAACTAAAGTATATTGGGAATTTTCTGTACCTGTTGTACTTCTGAGAAGCTGAAGGTGTTGGGTGTCCTTAGGAATTTGGGGAAGCTGTCATAGAGTAGAGACAAAGTAGTTTTTCATTTGAAAAATCCCACAAATGACGTTACCTAGGAAGACTGAGCATGAGACACTCATAGATTTAAGTCCTACTCCTTAAATGTTGTCCTGCTTAAAGTACAGGCACATTTCACCTTCTCCACCTGCAAGTAAATGATCAGTAAAACTTTTTCATGTTTATGGTTGAGATATCAGAGAAGCAAAAAGCACACAATTTTTATAAAAATAAATGGAGAAAAAGCACAGGGAAAAAATGGTTGCTAGGTAGTGGGTGAATGTTTTTATTACATATTTGCCCATTCTTTAAAATATTTTATAGTTATTTCATCTTTGTGAAAGGCAGAGTGATAGTGAGAGAAGAGAGAGAGAGAAGAGGTCCTCTATTAGCTCACTTCCCAGATGCCTGCAACACTTAGGTCTAACTAGTCTGAAGCCAAAACTCTAGAATCCCTCTAGTCTTCCCTAGTTTCTCACAGGTTCCCAGGCACATGAACCATTATCTGGTTCCTTCCAGTTTACATAGGCAGAGAGCTGTACTGAAAGCAGAGTAGCCAGGGCTCAAACTGACACTGTTTTGAGATGCAGGTATCCCACACATCATAGCACAAAAATCATTCTACCATCCTTGACAAATTCTCATAGTAGAAAGGATCATGTTTGAACATTGGGAAACCTTATGGTATATTAATGTATTAAGGAGAAAAACCATATAATGGTCACAAATAAGTACCTCATACTGATTTTGTGAACATCTTATGCCACTTGGATAACAAGTAACTTCATTCCTTTACATGAGTATGCCAGGAGAAACAGTTACATGTGATTCAGTGACATGATTGCTTTTTCTCATTTCAGTGGTCATGAAAGGGATGACCTGATTAGGATCAACCAGGAAAGTCAGGACAAAAATCTGAATCAGGATTTTATGAAAAAAACAAGACATCAGCTCTCAAGAGAATTGAATTAAGAAAAACACTTAGTTTAAATTCAAGCCATGTTCCAACACTATTAAAAAGGGAATCTATTCAGGATTGAAGCCTGAGGAATGCAATAAATGTCACACTGTGTATCCCCCCAGTGGGCCTGATCAACTACAGGCTGGAGAGAAATTTGATAACACTAAGATACCTGGAAAATCTCTCCAGTTCTGTGAGCCTCTTAGTCAGCTTGACAATATTCACATCATGAAGCAGCCATTTGGACCCACTGGACAAGCAAAAGTCTTCACAAGAAAGATGTTCTGTAAATCTGAGAGGGTTCATATGGCAGAAAACCATAATAAGTCAACTGTCCCTTTTGGAAAAGCAACGCAAATAGAAAAAGCTATCCATGAAAATTCTAGCCTCAATATGCATCAACAAACTCACACAAGAAAGAAATTTTATAAGTACATTATGTATGTTGAACCTGTCATTCACCAGTCACATCTTGCAATAAACCAGAGACTAAATACAAGGGAAAAAGTTTACACATGTAAACCTTGTGGAAAATCACTCAGTTTTAATTCACCTTCCGAATGTAATGACTGTGGAAAAGCCTTTAGACAAAATTCATTCCTCAGGAAACATCAGCAAATTCACACAGGGGAGAAACCTCATGAATGTAGGACTGTGGAAAAGCCTTTACACAGAAGTCATACCTCATAAACCATCAGCGAATTCACACAGGAGAGAAACTTTATAAATGCCTTCAATGTGGAAAAGGCTTTCTGTGGAAGTCAGACCTCATAGTACACCGGAGAATTCACACAGGGGAGAAACCTCATAAATGTAATGGCTGTGGAAAAGCCTTTGGACGCAAGTCACTCCTCATACACCAGCGAATTCCACAGGGCAGAAACCTCATAAATGTAATGACTGTGGAAAAGCCTTTGGACAAAAGTCAACCTCATAATACCAGCAAATTCACACAGGGGAGAACCCATAAATGTAATGACTGTGGAAAAGCCTTTGGACAAAAGTCACCTCATCATACACCAACGAATTCACACAGGGGAGAGAACCTTATAAATGTAATGCTGTGGAAAAGCCTTTGGACACAAGTCATCCTTCCCATACACCAGCGAATTCACACAGGGGAGAAACCTCAAAATGTAATGACTGTGGAAAAGCCTTTGGACGAAAGCCAGACCTCATCATACACCAGCAAATTCACAGGGGGAAACCTCATAAATGTAATGACTGTGGAAAAGCCTTTGGACGCAAG